AGCAAGTTCCACGTACATTTGTTTGTCTTCATTACGTAGAAATTCTGGTTTAGGATCTTCGAGACGAACACTAAGTACATTATTCAAAGAAACATTTTTAAATCCATCAACTTGCCGTACATCATCATAGTTAGGAATATTAGTTCTGACAGGAATTCCAGCAGTTGCAAACGTCACCACATCCAAACTAGTAAAGTCTGGCTGTAAGAAATTAACTTTTTCAAATGTAGAAGGCCATGATAAATTTGTTAACAACCTTTCAGCATTATTTACAAGTCGCTGGAATTTTTTAGACACTGACCTATTTACAACAGCGACAAATGATTCAAACTTTGCACGAACGCCAAAGGGATCACGGTATGACTCGATAAACCCAATATAGTTTACAACAACAGGGTTCTTATCTTTAACCCATAACCTGAAGGCATCTTTGTGAGTGGCTACTGAGCCAGTAGTGAAGCTTTCAGCATACTGATGCCACATTTCTGATTCAATTTGGTTAAGCGAATGTGCTTTAAAATCTTTACAACAATCGACTAGTAACTCCATCAGCTCACTATAGTCACCATATTCAAGCTGCAAAGATGTGTCCGAGGGAAGGGCATCTCTTAACTTCTCACGACGTTGACTTGGAGGGATTTGCAGGTCATGGTAACGTTGGGCTAACTGTCTTTGTTTTTCTTGGATAACAGGAGCGTCGAAATGACTTTCTGCAGCAAGCGTGTCAGCCTGGACTTTGAATGTATCTATACGTTCACAATGAGTAGCTACATCAGATTCAAGCAAGTTGTGCCGCTTTTGTACGTTCATCACACCGTTTAGATCACGAACGACATCCTCTGAGGCTATCTGAGCTTCAACATCATTCAACCATAACTCGACATCTTCTGTGTTGCGAGCGAACTGTTGTTGCCTACTTGCTTGATCTAAATCTTTCTTCTTGTCTCCCATGGCATTTACGAGATGAGACCAAGTTTCATCCAACTGTTCAATCTTTACTTTTATTTCTGGCGAGTTGTAGTGGTTTGCATTTAACAAATCCTGACCTGTCTTTTTAATATCTTCAACGCGGGATTGGTTCGCTTGTATTTCTGCCTCAAAACTCTGATGCTTCTGCACCTTTGTTTGCAAATTCGTGGAGTCTTTGTAACTTTCATCAACTGCATTTCATCTGCATCTCTATCGAACATTTGGTAACGGTGGGAATCTTCAAGACGCTGACGGCGGTTCTGAGCTTTCTCCTTTAATGCATTTCGTCTATTTTGAAGACCTTCCTGAATCTCATCAACCTGTGCAGCCGCATAGTGGTTTGATTCGATTAATTTTGCAGCGAATTCATCAAGTTGTCGCATCTTTTCTTCTTGTGCTAGAAGCGACTTTTCGAAGTCTTAATGTTTCCTTATCAGTGCTTCCACAGAATCGAGTGAGTCTCCCACATCTTTTATTTCTAGGAAGGCCTGTTGCTTACCAATCCAAGATTCCGACTGTTCAGCGTCGCGGTAAAAATACAGAAGGCCCATACACTGTTCTAGCTGTTCACGTCTTTCTTCACACAACTGCATCAGGGAGGCTCTCCCTCTTTCAAGGGTGGAAAGTTTAGCAGCTATGTCTCCACTACAGGGATGGCCAACTCTTTGTAATGCCTGACCTTCTTGCATGCATGTATCGAAACTGTCAGCTCGAGAATTTATCTCAGCGGTATATTCCTTATGTCGCTCTACTTGGGCTTCAGCACCAGCTACATCCTTTGCCAAATCATCCGCCGATATTAACGTCTTCATGTCATTCATCCAGATGCTCAAGTCTCTCCAGTCAGCCAAAAAGCGATGCATCTTGAATGACTCTTCCAGTTTGCCTTCTCCTACCTACAGCCTGACTTTTCAGCTTATCCCATGCAGTGATTAAGGCGTCATACTTGCCTTGTATAGTGTTTTGCGAATCAGGATGCTTCTGTGCAAGCGCCTTAGCATCATTTCCAAGTTGAACAATCTTTTTATCTGGGGCAGTCAAATCCCTTTCTAATGCTTCGTGCTTCCTTTGTAAGGCTTGGACTGAGGCAAGATCACGACCACAGTCCTCAATGGATAAAGGAATGAACTTTTCATTCACCAACGATATAGCTCTATCTATGTCTCTAAAGAAGCGCTGTATCTCATAGGCTTCCAGGAGCTTTTCTTGTCGTTTTCTAGCCAGATCCTTCAGACGTTCTATAGCTTCGCGGACTTGTCTGAACTTTTCTATGACTAGGGCATCCTCAGGAAATTTCTCTTTTAGAAGTTCATCTGCCTTCCGATAGATGTCTTCTGCACGACTTTCTTGATTCTCGAGATCTTTTGTAAACTCATTAAACCCTTTTTGAAGTGTCTCAGCATGTTCCAAGTCTTGACCTAAATCCTCTGATGTTACGTAAGTTTCTTTTTCACGTATCCAGAAAAGTATCTCCTCGACTTGGCGTAAAAACTGGACAAATTTAAGCGTTAGGTTAATAAGACGTAATTTTTCTCTGAAAATAGCCATAAGCCTTTCCCACAGGGCATGCAGTTCATCAAGACGGTTTTTGATAATATCTGTTGCGTAGTGTCCCTGACCAATCATTTCTTCTCCTGCAGAATCCAGAGCTGACAGTGTTTCAGCATGAACTGTTACTTCGAACTCAAACTCCTGATGTTTCTGTTTTTTCAGATGAAGATTACTGAGTTCTTTAAAATCCTCATTTGCATATGTTTGCAGTTTTTTATTGATCCAACACTCAAGTTCATCGGCAACCTTCTTAAAATATTGATATCTTTCAAGCATGTCCATAAACTTAGATATGGCTATGGTGAACTCACCGTTAAGAGATACAGTGACTTTATGGGAAGTAGAAGGTTTGTAAGGCGATTTATTGTGACCAGAACATCCGCGATTACCTTGTCGTAATCTTTCTAATTCCATTTCTTTCTCTTTTTGGACTATGCGCAATTTCGCTAGCTCCAATTCTACCATACGGTGTGATTTATTCTCTTTGCTTCCAGGGAAATCAGCCTCATTACTCTTTTCTAACTGTGGAGTTAACGATGGCATAGTTTCATAACTTTCGTCTGCCATACTGTTCGAAACTTTGTAGGATTATTTTTGTCCTACAGATTTAGTCCTTTCTCAATATTTATATTTTTTTAATATTTTTGGTTACAGCTTGATGCCACCTTGTATTTTCAGTACAAGTATGGAATTTTCAGCATGGATATCGGTAGCCCAAATTTTGCAGACCGACCATAGATATCGGGTGTGCGTCAGCAGGGGATCGAACCTCGGATCATGTGCATGGTCGGCGAGAGTCCTAACCACTGTGCCACCGACGCACACTGTAATACTGACGACACAGAGTCTTGGCTTAGCTATAGTTAAAACAGAATGACTTGACTTAAACTTTATCTGTTTCTAAAACATAAAATAAATCATACAATTACACCAAGAAAATGTACAAATCCACTGTCATTCAAAAAAGGACAAAAGCGTACCGAACAGTATTGAAGGAACGGACAAATGAACAGTTAATTAATTACATGTACATACAAATAAAGTGACAGACAACAAAGAACATTCAAGGTCACATCACGTGGTGAGAGTTACAATAAATTGACGAATAATCGCGACAAGAAGGTCACATCATATTGATTAGCTGTCTATCATATAGTCCATCTATCTGTCGTGATTAACAATATGTTCATAAGGCCAAGTTAAACTTTAGACACCAGTCACTTCCGATCAGCGAACGACGTCAAATTATTCAATGAGATTCACGAATGTAGTTCAATGTTGTATAGCGCCTGATTCATTTCAATGCGTGCCCTTACAAGGTTACGTTTGCAAATCTAGGAGGATAGTGTCTTTCAGTATTGCTTGGACTTAGGCTTGCTTCGAAAGGAGAGGGAGGTATCATGACCTTAAAAAGCTATATTAGGTCAATTGATGGATTTGTCCATCGTTGTGCTATATGCTCCAAGCGTGTTAGCATTAGAGAGGGTAAGTTGATAATTTTAATATTTCGTAGGAACTTTTTTTGCAATGTCGCACCTCTCCTTGACGCAAATTTTATATATCTGCAACTACTGGGTATTAAAACAGCCAGTGAGAGCAGCAGCTGCGGAGACGGAGAACAGCCTCGTCTCAACAGTTCAATGGTACCAGTGTTGCAGAGATATTGAATCCTGGAAAATCGAGAAGATCACTTCGTTGTTGGGTGGAGAAGACGTTATCATGCACGTGGATGAAACTGTGATGCTGAAAAAGAAATACAACCGTGGTCGCCAGCGAGCGAATAATATCTGGGTGATAGGTTTATACGATACTTCCTTACGAAAGGGATTCGTTGAAAGAATAGGAGATAGAAAGGCGACAACGTTAATACCTATTATAACGAGACTCGTCAAACGGGGTTCAATTATACACACGGACGAGTGGAAAGGTTATAATTCGCCTTCATCTTTGGGATATGGTCATCACCGAGTGAACCATTCAAACGATTTTGTGGATCCAGTTGCCGGAACTCATACAAATTCTATTGAAGGATTTTGGGGCCGGTTGAAAAATCTGGTAAGGGCTATAAATGGATCCCGGAAGGATCTCATTTATAGTCATTTAGATGAATATATATATACATATATATACAGAGTGTGGTGCGACTTTTCTATTGACAGTCCGTTGCTGAATTGGGAAATGTTTCTGTCCCATGTTCGTGAAAGATACCCGTTGTAATTGTTTTATCCTATTTTTTATGCATTTTTCTATAAATATACATTACCACTTATCATAAACGCCTCTTTCTTGTGATTGGTCCGTTCAAGGTCGTTTGCTGATTGGTTGTTACTGGTGTCTAAAGTTTAACTTCGCCGGATTTCATCATGAGCTGACAGCATTTGGAGAACCACTGGAAAACCTGGGAGGACTGGACAGCTGTTTCGTCCTAGTTTGTGACTCTGAGGATATATATATATATCACCTGAGGTAATGGTGTAGTCAGTGGTGAAAGTCTGGAGATGTGATCTGTGGTTACTTCACATTTTTCATGATCCTCCTTGATTTTAACTGTGTAATGATATTGGGATATCAGTTTGACGTCTTATTCTTGAGGCTTATGTAAGTTTTAAGTTAAGTGCATGTTGAATTTCGGCTGTGATTGACGAATTCATTAAAACGCTTTGTTTTTAGCTGTGCAGTCTGCAGTTCTCTGTCATCTGAAGTCCCAAAAGTGATAAACAGGCTTCATCACTAAACTTGAATGTACACACATATTTCATTATGTTGTAGTGAAGTTGTGTCTACGCCCTCTACTACTCAATCAAGAAGAGAATAATTAACAGATGAAGCACTAACAAAGCCTTTAATTCTCAATCTAAGATCTGAAATTCTCTACTAATTACCCTCGTGTTTGCTCTGTTCATTTTTCCCGTGATCAGTTCTTTTCATTGGGAAATTAGTATGTACAAACTGGTTATATTGAAACTAATCTTAATTTGTTTTTGATCCTTTTCTATCTGAATTTCCTGTAGCTTCTCTTTCAATGCATAGGAATTAGTCAGCCTAGAATTTGACCAATTTCTAAATAAGCGATGATATTTGTGTTATCTTCGATAATTCACATGTCGAAGTGTTCTAATCTGTCATACTTTTCCCACGCTATCTTCGTTGATCCGCTGACTTCGACATCTATTGGTCTTACCATTTTTCTTCTTTTTAACAGGGAAAGGTTGAAATCACAGAAGAAGGCATTAAATTACTTGAAAAATTGACGAAATCATTGAATTCTGCTAACACAACAAATGGTGGATGCCCCATAGCTGAAAGTCCAATGAAAGAAAACATTTCAACGCCACATGATGGTAAAAGCAATACATCTAAGAAAAGGAAACGTGTAGCTACTCCTTCTCCTGAGAGAGTTAAACAACCCAGTCGAACTTCATTAAAGGGAACGAAGCACAATTGTGAAGGAGATGAACATTCTTCTCAATCTGGTATTACCGTTGGTACTTCTTCGTCAGTGCATATTCCTCCCTTTCATACTGAACAGCCGATAACATCTGTAAAACAACCCACCAGTGTCAGGTTTCTCGATGCTTTTGAATATGGGGAGGAATGGCTTCCTGGCTTGTTGAAACCAACGAACTTGAAGAACTTCATCAGGTGAATTTGTTATTTCGGTTATATATTTCTAGAAATGCTTTTCATGGCTCACCACGCCAGGTTTCTGACCCATATTTAATATAAAGCGGCTTACTTAACAGTGGTGTTAGACAGAATCCGAATTTCGTTCTTTATACTGTGGAGTGCAGCTGATTTCAGAGTTATGAATTCTGCCTTGCCTTTACGATTCTTGTTTTGATATCCTCGTCCATACCTTCTACTATAGTTGACACGATGCTGCCTAGATAAGTGAAAAAGAGGCCTCTTTCAAATTTCTTCCGTTGACAGTGATTGACGCTTGTTATTATTGTTGTTGGTTATCGGGTATTTTCATCACTTCCATTTTCTCTGTGCTCACTTAAAGTGTTGTCTCGTGAATCTGAATAGCTCAGTGGTAATGTCTCTGACTGCAGCACTCCACTGAGCGACCTGGCTTGTTGAAGTCTCCCAGAGGGGACGTCGTTAGTTCTTTCAAGATTCCAGATGCGCCTTTCTGGCTGGCGTTAATGCCAACAAGTAAGAAAGCTAGGTCCACACAGAGATTCCTGCCTATTACCTTCAACCATGTAAACCAACAATTCAAAGTGCGACATAGTAGCTAGCCACCTAGTTTGATGGATGTCGAAGGCTGGATTCATGACGCTAAATACCATCTTGTGTCTAGTCGTATTATGTTGTGAATGATCTTACGTAATCGAAAGAGCTGACAACTAATTCGTTCATAGTGATGAATAATCATTTGGAAATGCTTATTGATAAAGAACAAGGAGGAACAAATAGACTAAGAATGGCCTCCATGGAGTTTATTATAGAACAAAGTCGTACTGCTGGTGAAAAGTGGGATGAGTATGTAATCAACAGCAATCGGTGAGATGTTTCCTCCACTCATATGACGAGGATGTTGTATCCCCATTGTGACGATGGGGGGGTCACTGGATCAGATTGGAAGAGAGATAGCGATGGCCAAACAAAAACATGGCATCAGTCCATAAAATCTTTCAAAGTTAGTTTGAGATAATGACTTGCCGATCACCATCGCGTACCTCATTAGATCCTTTGATGATACAGTTGGCATATGGATGATGTTACACAGCCACAAAGAGATGCAAGGTTAACTTTCTGTGAGAAACAACCAATCAAAAGACTCTATTTTCTACTAACAATAATGTACATTAAAATCTATAAATATGTGTTGATTTTCCTTAATAAACGATCTGTTGCCTGACCCTTGTCTTCTGTTGTTACAGTAATAATAATCGTAATAATAATAACCGTAAATTCGTTTGCTATTGATTATTTAGCAAAATTTACCCAATAGCATATGATAACTGTGGGACAAATTACACTAGACTAAACCTAAGTTCTGCGACACTCAGTGAGTAATGAAAAGTCTTTCAATGTATATATGTGTAAAATTTGAATTGAGAATGAGGTCAACGCATTTTAAGACAACTGATACGATAACGGTCTCTTAGGCTGTAAGCGCTTCCCCTAATTTCCAAATCATTTAAGGCGGAGAAATTTGCGAAACCTTCTCCATTCTCATTTATTTCACCGCATGCCACGATTGTTAGTGGCTGTCTGTTTTCGACATAGAACTTTGGACATATGTGCGGCAGTTCAAGTCGCCACACTCCATGTAGCACACAAAGCAAGAGAAGAAATTAGGAGAAATGCATAATAAAGACAGTAAACAGAGGTGTGAGACAAAGGTATAGTATAATGAAGAACACAACAGTTTCATTGGAAATCATAAGTCACAAGGAGTGGATGCATCTGCGCCATTGAGAACGATTTTGAGGCATGTCACCAATTGTTTCCAACCATTGGTTTTTACAGTCCCGAGGACCCCAACCAGTGAGGAAGTCTACACTTTCCTACGTGGCTCAGACTAACTGTTGTGGAATTCATTGACTGGTGCCATGTTTCAGTTTGACTGCCGCTAGCTCTTTTCCAGCCTGACCCTATATCAGCTAAAATTGCCCGTCGAGGAAGGCGATGACTAGGCATACGTAGCACATGTCCTAGCCATCTCAGTCGATGTAGCTACTTCACAGCCTTGTCAACTGATTTCCCCTCCTTACCTAGCACTCGACGCCTAACCTCAATATTGCTCACCTTATTATACCACTTCACGCGGGAGATGGAACGCAGACACCTATGATCAAAGACAGCTAATCTTTTCATGTCCTCCGCTCTCAATGGCCAGGTCTCACAGCCATAAAGGAGGACGAAGCGGAATGCTGAGCAGTACACACACCCTATGGTCGAGAGTCTAGAATCTGTCGGAGGGTGAAGATATGATCGATACACCCGCTTCCTGGCCTAAAGCCTGGCTGGTTTTCTCGTGTTTGTGCCTCCCGAGCACCATTTAGTCTACGCATGATTATTGAGCCTAGGACTTTAGATACTATATTAGTCAAGCTAATCCCTCTGTGATTATCACAGGAAGAATAGTCTCCCTTCTTGTATATCGGGATAATCAGTGACTTACACCAACCCGATGGGACTTCCTCTGATTCCCAGACGCTGCCTAGAACCTCAGTTAATGCAGACAGTAAACTGTCTCCACCGTACTTAAATACCTCTGGAGTTATTCCATCAGGTCCCGCTGCTTTGCCTAGCTTCAGATTAGTGACAGCTTAAGTAACCTCAGTTAAGGACGGAGGACCTGTGCCTATATCCCATTCAGGGAGGTGTTGAATGTTTGGCAGGTTAAGTGTGGCTGTAGGCCAATTAAACTGCTCTTCATAGTGTTCTTTCCAGCGCTCCAGTCGTTTATCCTGGGAGCTAATTATGGTGCCATTTTTCTCCGAGATTGTTTCGCTTATCATTTACCTTTTGCCACCTGTTTCCCTGATAAGCCTGAATAGTTGTCTGGTGTTCCAATCGCCGATGCCTTTGAATACTGTCTGGCTAGCTGACTCCTTGGTAAAAATTTTAAATATGCAGCTTACACACAGTTCTAGGTGAGAGTTCGCTACATGTATTCCTTTAGAAACCCAGCATACCTTTTAATTAGGTTCAAGGTGAAGGAAACTTAAGGAAATTCTTGAAAGATCTTCAAACTAAGTGAACACTCTCAGGTTTGAATTCCACTCCAGCTACTTCTGACGTGATATAGTACTGGAGTGCACCGACTATTGGTTTTAAGATCGAAAGTAGGGTGTTCAAATGTGTGGACCATCCTTTCACCCACTTATTTGAGAAGTCGCATCACCCTATATCGGCTGTCTGATTGTTGATGAAATTTGAGGATGGATGTGAAAGTTTTGTGTGGCTTTGGTGTGGGACCAAAACATGCCACCAATTGAAGAAGTCTCTAATTGCTGGTTTCAACTACATATGGAGGAGGGCGTAAACACTGTCGAGGTGTGCTCCTAGAAAGGTTTAGAATCAACTGCTGGAGAAAATTGAGATGCATCGAGCATACACGCAGAAGAGACAGGTGGGTATCATCACACGAGTCTGAATTGAAGACAGGAGTGTAAGACAAGACTGCCTACTATCACCGATAACACTCTTGATAATAGTGAACTACTGGGTCACACAACAAAGCGTCAGTGTGTAGCAAGAAGACGGATATTTGTTGGGCTGAAAAAGACTCTCTAGGACTTCTGTCTTTCGAGACTCTTCTGTAACTGATGTCGTACAAACGCGAAGATCTACAGGCGAAAACAAGTTGTCAGAAGAGACAGCGAAGATGACATTCGAAGTGGATATAGAGTTGATGAAAGTACCCAACGACCAACGTGGATAACAGAGCTTAGTCACTATCACTTATGAGAGGTCCAAACGAGGTCAGCTCTTTCGCTTACATAGGCAGCGTGCGTTCAGCTACAGGCGGAACTAGTGACAATGAAAAAGAGAAGACATTCAGCGAAGAGACTCTTTTTGGCGAATTCATTCATATAGCTGTACAATCACATTTATATATAAATATTTGTGTGTGTGTGTGTGTACATGAGGTTTGTCAAGTTTAGATAATTGATTAGTTAGTACAGGAATGATGTAGTATAGAGACAAAGTTAATCAGACAGCAACTAAAGTAAGATTGAGTTAAAAAGATAGATGACGTAATATAATTGGCTAAAATGTTACAACTTAGGTCAGGATAGCAACAGAGGTAATTACAGGTAGAGATTAAGTAGAAGTGAAATTGAGTGAATAAGTTGGATGACGTAACATGAATGACTAGAAACTGAGCGTTGTTCAAGTCAGTAACAGTGGTAGTGAGGTGTAGAAATTGAATCGGGTGGGGGTAGAGAACAAGAAAGTTGAAAATGTAAAATGTTACAATTGAGAAGACAAAATAATACTAATGAAGAGACAGAAGAAAAGATTAGGTAGAATTTACATGTCGGCTAATAAGATAGATTACGTCCATTGTAATCCTTTCTTCTGTCTCTTCATTAGTATTATTTTGTCTTCTCAATTGTAACATTTTACATTTTCAACTTTCTTGTTCTCTACCCCCACCCGATTCAATTTCTACACCTCACTACCACTGTTACTGACTTGAACAACGCTCAGTTTCTAGTCATTCATGTTACGTCATCCAACTTATTCACTCAATTTCACTTCTACTTAATCTCTACCTGTAATTACCTCTGTTGCTATCCTGACCTAAGTTGTAACATTTTAGCCAATTATATTACGTCATCTATCTTTTTAACTCAATCTTACTTTAGTTGCTGTCTGATTAACTTTGTCTCTATACTACATCATTCCTGTACTAACTAATCAATTATCTAAACTTGACAAACCTCATGTACACACACACACACACACAAATATTTATATATAAATGTGATTGTACAGCTATATGAATGAATTCGCCGAAAAGAGTCTCTTCGCTGAATGTCTTCTCTTTATCATATGACTCAATGGGGATTTTCAATCTACTAGTGACAATGTCAAAACCAGTCAGGGTCAGAAAGGAAGACCATCCATTCATTATTCAGAAGTCCGTGAAGAAATTTACAGCATTCACTCACCATAATATCAAATCAGACAGTGCTTACATGTGTATATATATGCCCTTTAAAGACCGGACCTTTCTAAAAGGCTACTGCAGAGGAGACTTTCCATACTGAATGAGCAACAAGGAGCTGTCGCACTGCAACGATGCCACCAAGAACTAATCGCCTAACTAAGAAATGCGCTGAATGATATTGAGATGAATCGGACACATGTTGGGGAGACAATAAATTGACATCACACACCAAACAAGCCACCGCCCTAGCGGAAACCTAAATAGAAAACGGCGAGTTGAGCGATGACATGGAGGTGGTTTGCGGAATAGTAGGTGGAAGTTTACTAGCAAACCTGAATTCAGGTGGAAAAGACAGCAAAGAACAAGATGATAGGGAAGAGTGCCCCTCAGCTACAGGCCCTGTGTTCCACTCGGAACTCAAGGGAAATTGTAAATGTGCATTCATACATTATTTTTTTTGTCGGCCTTAATGTATGTGACTAACTCTCGTCTACTCCATCGTTTTTTATTTCTTTCAGTTGTTTGTGGCCAATAAACTTCACAAATTAGGCTTTATTATCACTGAGGGAGAGATGCATAAGTCATCCCTCACTCTGAGAGGAAATGCATCGAAACAATAGTGATGAATTATCCGGTGCTGGCGTTTAACACGGCACAACGCTATTTGGTCGCAGCGACAGCCGCATCAACGAAGGCAGTACTCTACGGAGAAACGAGTTTATTTTTTTCAAGTTGTTTTTGAGAATTTCTAAAAGAAAACTGTGATCATATACTTGAAACTATCCTACTTATGTGTTTAGAAAGAAGTAGTTATCAGTCTTTCCTTGCCGTGGTAACTTGGTGTCTTTATTCTCTTTTTTTCATTCGATTAGGTAATCTTTGGCTTTAACCTCGCCCCTTTGGATATAGTGTAATTTTGCTTGTCTCTTGTTTCCATGGTTTGGGTTGAACTCAGTACATTGTTACTCCCAATTTATAAGTTGCTAACCTCCTGTCTTTATTATGTAACTCCTTT